ATATTCTAAAGAGTGTCTGAGAGCAGTACCACATTTGTATGGTAATATAATTAAAGACCATATTGTAATGTTTATACGACAAGGGGACCAACAATTAAGGTTATACAAGCAACCTTAATTCTGGTACTTCCTAAGTTATGAGTGATTGACTTTGCAACTATAACATTCTTCTAATGTAGTTTTTGGTATCTAATTTCTTAGTTTTTTTTTAAAAAAAGCAAACTGAAAAAAACACAGATTTTATCCATTGACTCCAAGATGATACATCAGCATGATTAGAACCTTTTAGATTCACAGCACAGACCTCTGCCTCTTAAGATAAGAGAGTCACTGACAGCGGTAGTTGAGTGCGTATATGGATCAGCCGCTAAAGGGAGATGAGAGATAGTTATGAAATCTATTGGCACAGTCTATTTGCTGACAGCAGAGGCATGCAGAGACTTGTGACTCCTGAGTTCTATTCCAGGTTCTGAGAGGAGTAACCTCTAATGGTTACAGACCAATGTTCCTGTTAGAGGGCTTTTTCCTTCACCCTCTCACTTCCCTGGTCCTTCTCACATGAAGAGAGCAACAATGTCTGAAGGTGCAAACAACTCAATGTTTATTGGGGTGAACTTCCAGCAAGCTTAAATCCAAGTTCCTTTTTCCTTATTTTCAAATCCCAATTTACTTCTTGTTTGCCCCTAATTTATATAGTAATATTCTCAGCTATGCCTTAACCAATCATTTTACTGAAATTTACCTAACTAATCCTAGCATATTGTAACATTATTAGCTAATCAATTGTATCCCACCACCTTAATTAGTTTACACCCAGCAAAATTAATTATACAGAGGACAGAAACAACCACAGAACCAGACAGAGACCATGCAAATAAACAATAGCAAAGTGGGAACTATAATGACAAAACAATACAGAAGTGAGGATTTCACAACTACATCTATAAAGACGTAAGGGTTTCCCAGCTGTGTCTATTGATAAATCAGTTCTTACCAAACAGAAAACTATCAAACTAAATTTCCTTTTACATCTTCTAGGCTCTTCCCTTTATCTGGACGTGATAGATCGGATCACCTTTCTAACAGCCCCAGGTGGCCTTATTTCAATGTGACTGGTTTGGAATGTGAGGATGTGACCAAACGCTTCCCAGCTGCTTAGCCAAAGGCCTTAGCTTAAGAACAGGGCCTCAGACTGTCCCAGTGAGAGAAGGCCCTTACACAGGTAGACAGTGATTTTGATTCTTTCTTTTATACCTCTATAACTAGCTAAATGATAAACGTATGTGTGTGAGCGAGGGGGAGAGAGACACCCCTTTAAGTATGCTGCCCTTTTAAGTAGATTGGCACTCACCAGTCTGAAGCCTGCTTGTTCAGACAAGCAGCAGCAGCCAGCAAGCTCCCTCCATCCCACTCCTGATGTCCCCCTTACCTGCTCTGCAGAGATGGGGTACAAGGGCAGAGGATGGGTGGGGATGGGGGGCACCCGGACATCAGCACTCCCCCCCCCGCACACACACACTCTGCACAGCAAGCAGGAGGCTCCCAGGAGCAGCTGGCCAGGAGCCCCAAGGCAGAGGGAAGGAGCAGTGTGGCAGTGTGGGGAGGGGCACCTGAAGTGCGTGGCACTTGATAGACTGCTGGGTGGCCGCACGGCTTAAAGGGAACTTAGTTACAGACCCGTCTGCCCATGGCCTTCCTGCCCCACCTCCACCTTTGGCTCCTCATCTAGTCAACCCACTGCATTTCAGTCAGGGTGCCACGCCAGCCATTGCAAGGAAAGTCCTGCAGCTCCGTACTGGAGCATGCTCAGTGCAGATGGAATCTTTGGAAAATTTAGCTTTCCAACTCTAACAAGTCTCTACTGAGCATGTGTCAACTGAAGTTTTCATGGGGGCAGCAAAGGGCACATTCCTGATATCAGGCCACTCTCCCTCCCCTGCCTAATGTCAAGCCTCTGTTCCAAAGCACGGAGGCTCTAGAGCTTTTTAATTAAACTGTAAGAATATTTCAATATGGGCAAAACAATATATTTTCCCCTCACCTCATTCTAAGAAACTGCTGAGCACTTTTAGCTGAAATTTAAAAAAAAAAAAAAATGCAGCCTGAAGCAGACACAAGGCATGGAAAATTTCATGCCAAGTGATTGAGCAACATTAACTTTAGGCATAGTTACCCGCACTACCTATAATAATGACTCCAGGTAACAGCAGAGTCCCTTCACCACAACTGTTGGAGACACCTTGCTCAAAAATGAAAGATTTGAGACAAGATGGTAATTGGGAAGAGTATTAGTGTCAAGAGAGGGTTTCTTGAGAAGAGTCTGAAAGTGGCTCACGTAATGGAAGCTTCTACCTTGTCTTCCTACTGGAGATGTTGACATTTTGCTTGTGTACAATTTTTGCATAATGACTCGAGTAGATCTGAGCAAATATGGCATGGAGAATTGTTTTGTAGTGACATAAGGCACTCAGACGTGGAAAAGGAGCGCGCTCTGATAGATGTATGGGTAGATAGCGATTCTGCCTAGCTTTCATATTAAGTGCAGCCTGATTTATAGGAATTCAGTATATGACTGATAGGCATCTGGTATCAGTCAACAATGCTGGCCTACAAGAAAATAGAATAACATGTCCTGTATTTCATTTCTCTTTCCCTACTGCTCTTTATAAGGATTCTATGATAGAAAGGCAGTTCCTTCATGGTGAAACTGCAGAAAAGCCAAAGCTCAGACTGTCATGTTGCATGGAAATCTATCTAATCCTAAAAATATCTTTATAGAATTGGCGCATGTAGCCCAGTGCTATTTTACACAGATGTTTGTGGTTTCTATTAGTGAAACTGAATAAATTACTTATATCATTGTATCATGTTTATGTTCTATCTGCACCAGCAGACAGTTATATATGGAAATTTGGTGCAAATTTAAAGAATCTTTATATGTATGTACATATACAAAGTATGTAGCACATCTGTGGAGGTGACAGCTATGTGACAGATTGGAAAGCCATGTGACAAATTCATTTATCATACATCCTTGATAGCCTGAACTACCTTAGTCCACAAATACATCCACAGATTCCCTAGGATGCTTCAAATGACCGCTATATTATTTTAAAAGGGAACTCCCTGCAGAACTGTTTCCATCTGTAACCCTTACTCATATATCAGGATGGGCATATATCAGGATGGGCATAGAGTTTTTGTGAGAGTCCTGGGGGTTGTTTGGTTGGAGGGGCTCTCAGTGGAGGTTGGCTTGTAGCTTGAGTTGCTATAAATTTTTTGTAACTTATGTAAAAAGTGCCTAGAGCTTTGGTCACCTTTTACAATATATTTTACAAATCAAAATAAATGTGTGTGCATGTGTATAACCATTGAACAGTGCAGAGATCATTCCTAGAGGGACTATCCATAACAATGGTTACTGTAGAAGTGGGTTGGTTAAAAGTCAGTTGTATACTGTAAAATTTCGTAGACTTACACTGGTTGCATTTACTTAATTATTCTTGGTATTAATATAAGTAAAAGTTCATCCATAAAATACTCTGACTTTCTCAATCCATTTGAACCTTAGTCTGTTTCAGTGTAATGTTCTGAAGCTGGGAGAGATGCTTTTTTATTGGATTCTGTAATCCCATGAGGGATTACACCATTGTCTGATTCAAAGTTTCCTGCTGTTGCTATATGTGTTATTTCACAGGAATGAGAAGTAATTCCCTATCAGACTCTTGTGTAGAGATTGTTGCCAGGGAACATCATCCAATGTTAGTGAGGCGTTCTTTCACTGCTGAAGTTAAGGCATTACATCTATTATAAACTCAGTTTTCAATATGTTTTTAAACTTGCCCTCAATTCACTTCAGCCGGAAGTTATATTTCCCAGGAGTAAATATTTATCTTTCCAAAACCAATTGCTGGTTAAAATCCTATGGCCATTTTAAAGTTGTGGTGCAGACAATTTTTGACATTCTAGACAGTTAACATCTCCTTCAGAGCCCTTACATCTCTTCTCTAAAATCTTCTGAGTTTGCAGATCACTGATCCAATGGACAGTAATGAATCTATGTCAATCTAGCTACAGTATTAATTCATGAAGTCTGCATACCAGAGACTCTCGAGACTGTTTTTGATGGTCAGTGTCACCACATGTATTGCATACCCTATCTCTAAATATGTCGGTGGATACCGTTTTCAGTTGAAATATTTGAAAGCAATTGTCTCCTGCTCAAAGCAGTTGCTCAGGCTTTGTGTAGGGTAGATTTCATCTGCAGTGTGTAGCCAACCTAAGACATTCACAGCCACAGTATATTAGAATTAAATTCTTTAGTTATGAGGATCAGAAAGAACTGAATAATATTGACAAATATTTACCGGTACTTATAATAATTTAAGTATCTTCCTAAAACTCTAAACTCATATATTACCTAGTTTAAAATTTCCATCTGACTAGTGTAATTATAAAACTACATGGTGCTGGAGGTTGGTGTGGTGGTGGGAGTAGATGGGTGGTGGTGATTTAGATTGTGGTAGCATGTAGAGAGGGACTCCAGTCGTAGACCATGGCCTCACTGTGCTTAGCATTGCACAAACATGTTATAAAATGACTGTCTCTGCCTCGGGGACCCTACAATCTAAGTACATATTTACTAGTTATACATCCTAAAATAAGGTTAATCATGTTTAAGAGTTTAAACTGATCACTAAAGATTGCTAGGCATGCAGGAGGGGCTAAACCTTTCACTTAGCATTAGTAACTAGTTATTAGTCACTAGCAGATGCAGGATACCAGACTTGATTAAACCAATGGTCTGAGCCAGTATGGCAAGTACTGTGGTCCTCAATTTATGCTTGTTTTAAACTAAAAAGCGGAACTATGAAAATCTTTAGACAACACGGGGCATATCTACCCCATGAATGCTTGTAGCACAATAAGTAGAAGCACTTTGTATGACTTTTCTAGTTTGATATTTTCATATAAATGTCCTTTTCTAATTGCATTTTTAGGTTGTACTGGTCAGCGGACATCTGGACAGCTGGGATGTTGGGCAAGGAGCCATGGATGATGGTGGTGGAGCATTTATATCCTGGGAAGCATTATCTCTTATTAAGGATCTTGGTAAATATTTATTTAAAGAAATGTTCTAATGTGTAAGACTTCCAAGACTCTCGGTGTAATTTTTTTTAAACTGAAGATCGTCATCAGCTCCACCATTCTGAGCACAAATATTCACCATCCAGAAAAATATTCCTAAAGATTTCCCTCTTCTGCCACCTTCTTCAGAAGACTGAACAAATTAGTCACCTTCCCAAAACAAAAAAAAAAAGTGCATAAAGAGTGCTTTGTACATTCATAGCCATCGCCAAAATGTAATGAAAGTTTGTAAATAAATGTATGTTAGAATAAGGACACTCTATGGGCTGTATATTGTTGGCTTGACAGCTCAAATAATTAGAATACAATTTTCTAATTGTGTATGCACCATTTAAGTGGGGGGAGGGATACATTTTGAACAGTAAAACCTACAGTCCCGTCGCTGGTAAAGTGAAGGAACAACATTCATGGGGTCTGGCTGTGATTGTCCTGGACACTAAGCTTTGGGAAAGACAGTAAAAAATGGACAAGGAACTATTGACAGTCCCCCAGAGAGAAACCTATAGTGCTTTACAGTGTTGTTGTAGCTGTGTCAGTCCCAGGATATTAGAGAGACAAGGTGGGTGAAGTAATATCTTTTATTGGACCAACTTCTGTTGGTCAGAGAGACAAGCTCTTGAGCTACACAGAGCTCTTCCTCAGGTCTGGGGAAGGTACTTAGGCATTGTCTACACTATACAGTTTTGTTGACAAAATTCAGCTTTCATCGACAAAACAGTGGAGGTGTACACACTGCAATGCTCCTTCTGCCAACAAAACTCTCCTGCTTTGCCGACAAAATAAAACAAGAAGCATAGAGCTTTTAGCAGCAAAGTTATATCGACAAAGTGTCTGTGTAGACACCGTGCTTGGTGATGTCACTATAATTGGCCTCCATGAGGTGTCCCACAATGCTCATCCTGACCAATCTGGTCAGCAGTTTGAACTCCACTGCCCCACAGTCAGGTATGCAGGCATTGGCATGCCCCCCCTTCCCCACTTAAAGGCCCAGGAATTTTTGAAATTCCACTTCCTGTTTGCACAGCGTGGACAGCTCACATCGCATCTTCCCAGCTGACTTTGGCGGCTCCACACAGCAAACGCTCTCCCACTTGGAGCACACCTGAGTTGTTGGATCTGCTGGCGCTGTGGGGAGAAGAGGCTGTGCAGTCCCAGCTCTGCTCCAGCCATAAGAACTTCGGTACCTACAGTCAGCTTTCTCTTGCTTGTTGGATAAGGGCTATGAACAGGACATGCATCAGTGCCATGCGAACATAAAGAAGCTACCCACAGTGCACTGCTCTCTGTCGATGCTAGAGTACCAACTGTTGACATGCTCCGCCAACAGAAGGAGCGTTATGTGAACATGCGCAAGTGATGTAATTATGCCAGTTTTTGATTGTCTGCTTAACTTGCCTCGACAAAACTCTGTAGCATAGGCAAAGCCTTAGTATCAGCTAAATGCAAGATCAAACAGATAGTTTAGCATAAGTAGTTCGCACATATTCTAAGGGACCATTCAAGGTGAAGTGTTAACACCTCTGTAGTTATAGGACAAAAAGGGGAGCGAGTGGTTACAGACTGTTGTAATAAGCCATAAATCCAGTGTCTTTATTAAGACCATGATTTGACGCTAGCATGGGTATGTTCCAGAGAGAGTTTAATGGACAAGTGGTGGTGATTAAAATGTTTGTGGAAATCTATTAAGGAGTTTGTCATCTGTCCGGAGGATGAAAATATCATTGACATATCTCAGGTATATCATTGGTTTTGTGGTGCATTTGTCCAGAAATTCTTCTACAAGGTGGCCCACGAAGAGGTTGACATATTGGGGAGCCATCCTAGTACAAAAGTGTTTGTTGTTGAATGTAAAATTGTTGAGAGTGAGGATGAAATGGACGAGTTTGGTGATTTGTGGGGTGGATATCTGAGGCTTGTCCATTGTCTTTTAAATATTTGAGGCAGGCAGCGATGCTGTCATTGTGAGGGATGTTGCTGCATAGAGAAGTGACATCCATGGTGGCAAGGATAGGATGGTGTTCTGAGGGAGGTTGTTTATGTTGCAGAATTTGTGGAGGAAGTCAGTTGTGTCCTGGAGGAAGCTAGCCTTTTGTGTGGCGACTGGTTTGAGGATGTGTGACGTGGGGTTCTCAACTCACTATTAGGATGGAGCCTCCTCTTAGCTGTTCTGGGGATTAGCGACGCGCCTTCCTGCGGTTGCACCCCATCTCTCTGCCTCTCTCTCTGTCTGCAGCCCCTCTTTCGCTCCAGGAACCACTGCTGCCTCTTTGTGACTTGCCCCTCTGGTCAGGTCACTCATAGGTTTCCCCTTCTGGGGTATAAAAGTCTCTTAAGAACAGATTCAGGCAGTCTTCCAATTCCCTGCCCAGCTGGTGCCACTTCACCAGTGGCAGGTGCAGGAACCTGGACCCACTGTCTACTCTGGGTTCCAGCTCAGGGACCCTCTAAGCAGCAGCCAAGGTCTATTCCCTCCTGGATCTTGCTGCCACTTTCCCTGAGCCTTTCCTACATGTCTAACTTCCTCCTTTCTCTGGGTTTACCAGCCTTCAAACTCCTTCCTCCCAGGGAGTAACTATAGACTACCTGCTTCTGTGTAAGGGACTGAGGTGAACGTGGTCTGACCTAGCAGTCACAGCTGGGCTGAGGTCTGCCTACCAGGGATGAGAGTTGTCGGACAGAAGTTGGAGGAATTGCAAGGCCAGGTGCCATAAACAAGAGTGAGGGTCCGAGTCAGGACAGGGTCAAAGACTAGAGATCAGAGGCAGTACAAACTTAGAACTGATAGGCAGGAATCAAGGTCAGAGTCAGGCTGGAGTCGGAGACTGGAGATCAGAGACAATACCGGGCTAGAATTGGGAGGCAGGAGTCTGGGTTGAAGTCAGGCTGAAGGGAGAGACCGGAGATCAGAAGACAAGGCAAAGTCTGGCATTGCAGCAAGCCAAGGTCTGTGTGGTTACCCAGACAACTTCCTGGGGTAACCCCTGGGGTTAAGTAAGGGCACTTGACCAATCAGAGGGCCGCAGGGTACTGTCACTCTGGGTCTTGTGGGCGGTACTTCCTGCAGTGCCTACTCTCCACAGTGCTCCCTGGATCTGGAGGCTCTCTACACAAACATCCCACACACAGATGGAATACACGCTGTCAGGAACAGTATCCCTGATGATGACACAGCACAACGGGTTGCTGAGCTCTGTGACTTTATCCTCATGCACAATTATTTCAAATTTGGTGACAATATATACCTCCAGACCAGTGGCACCGCTATGGGCACCCGCATGGCCCCACAATATGCCAACATTTTTATGGCTGACCTGGAATAACGCTTCCTCAGCTCTCGTCCACTCGCACCCCTTCTTTACCTACGCTACATTGATGACATCTTCATCATCTGGACACATGGGAAGGAGACTCTGGAAGAATTCCACCACGATTTCAACAGCTTCCACCCCACCGTCAACCTCAGCCTGGACCAATCTACACGGGAGATCCACTTCTTAGACACCACGGTACAAATAAGTGATGGTCACGTTAACACCACCCTATACCGAAAACCCACCGACCATTATGCCTACCTTCATGTCTCCAGCTTCCATCCCGGACACACCACATGATCCATCGTCTACAGCCAAGCGCTGAGGTACAACCGCATTTGCTCCAACCCTTCAGACAGAGACCAACACCTACAAGATCTTCAGCAAGCATTCTCAAAACTACGATACCGGCACGAGGAAATAAGGAAACAGATCAACAGAGCCAGACGTGTACCCAGAAGCCTCCTGCTGCAAGACAAGCCCAAGAAAGAAACCAACAGAACTCCACTGGCCATCATCTACAGTCCTCAGCTTAAACCTCTCCAACGCATCATCAGTGATCTACAACCCATCCTGGACAGCGATCCCTCACTTTCACAGGCCTTGGGAGGCAGGCCAGTCCTCGCCCACAGACAACCTGACAACCTTAAGCATATTCTCACCAGCAGCCACACAGCGCACCATAGTAACTCTAACTCAGGAACCAACCCATGTAACAAACCTCGATGCCAACTCTGCCCACATATCTACACCAGCGACACCATCACAGGACCTAACCAGATCAGCCACAACATCACCGGTTCATTCACCTGTTCATTCATGTCCACCAATGTAATATACGCCATCATGTGTCAGCAATGTCCCTCTGCTATGTACATCGGCCAAACTGGACAGTCCCTACGTAAAAGGATAAATGGACACAAATCAGATATTAGGAATGGCAATATACAAAAACCTGTAGGAGAACATTTCAGTCTCCCTGGACACACAATAGCAGATTTAAAGGTAGCCATCCTGCAGCAAAAAAACTTCAGGACCAGACTTCAAAGAGAAACTGCTGAGCTTCAGTTTATTTGTAAATTTGACATCATCAGCTCAGGATTAAACAAAGACTGTGAATGGCTAGCCAACTACAAAAGCAGTTTCTTCTCCCCTGGTGTTCACACCTCAACTGCTAGAAGAGGGCCTCATCCTCCCTAATTGAACTAACGTCGTTATCTCTAGACTGATTCTTGCCTACATATTTATACCTGCCTCTGGAAATTTCCACTACATGCATCTGATGAAGTGGGTATTCACCCACGAAAGCTTATGCTCCAATATGTCTGTTAGTCTATAAGGTGCCACAGGACTCTTTGTCGCTTTTTAGTGCTCCCTGGCTGTCCTTCTGCATGGCCTTCCAGTGGCACTGCATGAATGTCAGACATTCCAGGCTCTGCAGATCTGGGTTGTAGTCCCTGGGTTCTTACACTCTGTAGTTTCCAAACACACCTCCCTTTCCCCCAGGGAGTGACTGGAGCCTACTTCTCTGCTGCTCCATCAGTTATCAGCTCCCAGACTTTGTAGAAGCCCCATCTGTTCCCTGACAGGTGGGCTTCTTTGTAATCAAGGTTCTCCACTCAGCCTCAGTCTTCCTCATTTGCTGCCTAATTGGGTGATTGGGCCCACCTGGCCTAATTTAGCCCTCTCAGGACTAGTGTGGGGAGTACATCCCATCACAGAATGGTTTCTATGAGTCCCAGTATTCCTTCAGTAAGAATGTTGTGGCCCGATATAATAGGTCTGCTTGAGTTCCCTTGTCTGTGTATCTTGGGAAGTATGTAGACGGTCCCTGGGGTGGGCTCATGGGGGATGAGGTAGTAGAGTTTCTCCTGGAATTGTTTGGGGAAGGATTTGGTGATAACCTTAAATTCCTGGGTAAATTGTGGTGTGGGGTCTTCTTTGAGTTCTTTATAGTAGGTGGTGTTGGAGACTTTTCGGTTGGCCTCATTCATGCCGTCATCATGGTTGAGGACTATAGTGGCGCCCCCTTTGTTTGCTGGTTTGATCGCTGTCCGATGGTTAGATTTCAGGGACTGTATAGCTGTCCTCCTGGGGGTGATTTATTTTTTCAGCAGGAGAGAGCTCAGCAAAGAGCAGCTACACTGTATATCTTACAGCAGCAAGGCTTTAGCAGCACAGCTGTGCCACTGTAAGCTGCGTAGGTAGACATAGCCTGACTTTCTTAAGCACCTTTCCCAAACCTCAGGCAGGCTCTGTGTAGCTCAAAAGCTTGTCTCTGTCAGCAGCAGAAATTGGTCCAATAAAAGATATTATCTCGCCCACCTTGTAACCCTATAGAGCTGTCATTTAAAAAAGATGGTGTTTCTGTGCTTTGAAAACTGTGACATTCCGCTACAACAGAAGTTCTGAGTGCAAAGAAAAGGAAATTATTAAAGTAGCCATGCCCATGGGTACTCATCCGAAAAAGTGACTCCAAAATGGTGTCTGTAGTTCCACAATTCAAGATGCTTTAAAACAAAACAAACCCCCCCTTTGCTGAAATGCCCTTGCACTACTTCAATCAGGTTCAGTCTCAGAACTGTTGGAAATGTGTTTGTTGTCATATTCAGAAAGTGTTGCTTAGTTTTATGTATGTGCCTCACTATCAAAAGGATGGTACTTTAGGATTCCCTCAAAGTTAGCCCATAAAAGGTCTTTAGCATCACAACTGTGAAAACTGGCTTGTGTAAAACACTTCTGCATTTTGGCCCCAATTCAGCAGAGCACTTAAGCATCTTCTACCATTTTTATTTAGAAGTCCCAAGTTAAGCATATGCTTAAGTGCTTTACTTATCTGGGGCTCCAACTCATCAGATTCTGTACACTTTCTATATAGTGCAGCTTTAAGTAATTTTTAAAGAGTGCAGTGAACAAATGACCTGTTATTTGTGAGTAACTGGCCACAGTTGTCTTCACAACTGTCCTATTTCTATGCTCAATGGTACACACACAAAGTAGGTGATAGTTCCAAATCATCTAAATGTTTGTTTAAAAATAAAACCAGCCCCCGTGATCCTCAACTATGGCTCAGTTTAACCTCCAGCCTTGCCTGTGAGGCTTTTAATGTTCCACAGTTCTAATTACAAGAGTATGTATACTTGAAAAGCTCATCACTCCATGCTGAGCTCTTTATGGGGGAGAAGGATGTTAAGTGTTCTGTTATGCTAGGAGCCACTCAGATACTACAACGATGACAAGTGCCAGACACTTCTATAAATAAATAAATGCATCTTTCATTTTGCTTATTTGAAACTCTTCTCTCTTGTTTTCCTGGCCGCAGAATGAGTAGATTTAAATAAAGTAAAGTCTGTGACTAAAAGTAATTTAGCTTGTGGCTTTGGGGATTTTTTTGTTTTCGATTTTGTTTTTTGGGGAGAAGGAAGGGTAAAATCATGTTCAGGTTTTCTATGGGGGAATTAGTTGCTTTCAAATTGTTTTTTGTCTTCTTTTGTATGATTCTTGAAAAATCACGTATAGTCCCCCCCAAAAAAAGTTTCTTATTTGCTGACTTTGCCCTTCAGAGTGTACTGTTTTGTATCTGCTAAAGGCAAGTTCTTAGTGATGTCGTATAACTTTTGTTCAGTGGGTTTCCTTTAATGCAAGAATGAAATGCATTGCTCACTCCTTGTTGAAATATTTGATTTCCTCGGGTAGTAGGTTGGGTGGCCTATATGTTTACTGTAAAACCTGTGGCAAAGTCCTATTTTTCTCAGCTGGGAATTATTAGAGTCTTTGCTGGTGACCTTTATTCTGGTTTGCCGTTACATAAGTTCTTGATACACCAACACAGTGTGCATTTGATCTTCCCATGATGTTTTGTTAATGCTAGATTAACAAATTCAGATGCACAGAACAGAATATTCCACAATAAATGACAGCAAAATTCTATATGCATAAATTATGTGACAAATAAATTAGTGAACCAAGCTGAGTTTTGTTTAGAATGAAACACACAGAATATGGTTTAAATTTGGGGCTAGCTATAGAACAGTGAGTTCAAACACTGCATTTTGAACCATAAAGACCTGCCTTCATATCCAGCTTGGATCCCAATGAAATGAGTTTGTGATCTTGGTCTAGTCCAGAGAGGACATAAAATCACTGCATAACTTGACTTGTCTGTGAGCACATGCATAAGTTCTATTGCTTACTGTGGGTCTCTTAATGTGCTGTCTCGGTTCTCTCTCTAGATATAGAAAGCTATATCTCAGCATTGCTTTGTTGGTTTTGGTAAATTATCATATGTATGAGTATAAAAACTAGCTTTCCAATACCAATGGCAAAGTGAGACTGTTTTAAAGGGAGGTAAGCATTTTGGGTTATGAATTTTAGATTATATAATGGAGCTGTTACACGCTTGATTCTGTTAAAATGAGGCACTTTCATTTACTCTATTACAAAGTTGTTTGCGTAATAACCACCATGTAGACTTTTCCATTGATCTAACTGTACCTAGCCATGATACAGTTGTGGTCTTGCATTTGCTATTGTCACTAATTATATGTGCTACCTACGGGAAGGGTCTGTATTTATAAAGAAATTCTCTGCTGTTCATTGAGTGTATGTGTTTGGCTGATTTGCTTGTTAGCTCCAGGTAGGTCTTTTTATTTTTTGTTTGCTTTTTTTAGGGAAGGGGAAGGTGGAAGGACTGGTAAAACTGAAAAAGTTGAGTTACCAAATTCCTGGGGGTAAAATTTAAAAAAATGCTTAGGGAATGGCCAAAGGATCAGTGTAAAGTAGTTGTGAATCCACTGGCCTCGCACAAATATTGAAAGAAAATTGTATCGGTTTGTGAACAATTTCCTAAATTTAAAAGAGGGGCTAGCTTCGTAACAAAATAGTTGAGTGAGCTCTAAGTATGTGGTTAAGCGCTGTTTGTCATATCCTTGAAGCAGCTTTTAACTGTATATACTTTCTGAAAGTATTTGCTAAGTAAACCAGGTATCTCTGCACCTCTTAATGAGCGCCCATGAAATAATAACATCTCTGTTAGGTATTTTTATGGCCCCCATCACTAGGGTTACCATATTTCAACACTGAAAAAAGAGGACCACTCCACGGGGGCCCCGGCCCTGCCCCAACTCTGCCCCTTCCCCATCCCTGGCCCCGCTCCAACTCTGCCCCCTCCCCACCCCCATTCCAACCCCTTCCCCAAAGTCCCTGCCCCAACTCTGCCCCCTCCTCTGAGCACCCCACATTCCCCCTTCTCCCTCCCGCTCTGTTCTTGGTTGGGGGTTGCTAAGTGCTTCATAAACTGTAAAATGTTTGTAAAACCTACAAAGTGAGGGTGAAACAGAGAAAAGTCTGTGAGCAAAACAAGCTGCTAGTGAGGGAGACATGGTTATCTATATGAGATGTTTTTATTTAAGAATCCATGGTAATACAAATAGTAATGATGATGATGGTGGTAATGCTACAAATAAGCAGTTAAGATTGGGACCTTATTCTAAACAAGAAAATAAATCTAAACCATGGAGAATGCAGTGAAAATTAATATTGATTATTAGGAATAATGGTGAGGTAGGAATAGCATCATGATGGTCAAGGAGAAGGGATTCCACTAGGGCCAGGTAGTAACCATGGTTCTATTTAGTATTTGTGTCAAAGCACATTCACCGCTTAAATACAGTTCTCTGGTTTAGTTATTTGGTACAGTAACTTGCAAACCATGAAGCCGGTAGCGCTCCGGCAAAAGACGCTCGGGGGACCCCGAGTGCGAGTGGCTGCAGCAAAACTAACAACTTGCACCGAGATGATGTCACAGCGGGCGACCCCCCCCCCCCACACACACACACACAAATTCGGAGAGCCTTAATATAGTTGAAATACACTGAATTGCAGATTTTTGGATGAAGAGAATGGAAAAAATAGTAGCTATTTTGCTAAAAATTAAGGACAGCTGTTAGTGTACAGGACTTCTGGCACTGCATTTCTAACTATATCACTGCCTCATTCGGTGACCCTGAGCAAGTCACTAAGGCCTGCTCTACACACAGATTTTGTGCCAGGGTAACTATTTTGGTTAGGGGTATAGTTTTTTTAAAACCAATTTAGTTATCCCAGTACAATCCCAAGTGTGGATGTAATTCTATACTGGTACAAGCACTTTGATACCAAGTCCATGCCAGGAAGTTGTCCCACTTTCATTATACTGGTACTGTTAAAATGAGAGAAGTTTCATGCGCCACCAAGGCCTTACACTGGATCTGTTTCCACCTATTTATGATTTTCCACTTAGCGCTTTGTGATGCTCACGCTGAAGGAGCTCTACAAGCATAAAGTATTTTTATGGCTGTGTATCACGAGTGGGGTGCGTGACTAGGAGCCTGACCTTTGCCTCGCCTCACAAGATATGAAGGTGCAAGACCTGGGTAACGTTTCCCCTGGGTCATGGTTTGTGGACAGGGCTCACAGGGCACGCAGCAGCCCGATGGATTTTCACCAGTTCCATTCAGGAAAGTAAACAGCAACACGGGAGGGGGGAAGGGCGGGATCCTGCCCCGCAGACATACCCCAACAACATTCTCCAGGCAGCTCAACCCGACTAGCGGCTCCTCTCATTCCCCAGGCTCGCCAGCCACCCCGGACTCTCCAGCTTGCGCCCGGGCCTGGTGCCCGGGGCCGGAGGCGCAGCTCCAGCCCCAGAGGGACGCAAATCCGGACAGTGCCGGCTCCCGCAGCGAGCTGCCAGGTGGTACCGCAACCCCCCCGGGGGCGCCCCCCAGCCCGGCGCTGGCTGCTGAACGGCACCCAGAGACACCCCACACCCAAAGGACAGGGGCCCGCGCTCCCCCTCCCCCGAAGGCTTGCTGCCTCACAGGAGCAGGTTGGTCACGTCGCAGGGGCCGCTGGGAGTTGTATTTCTCAGCCACTCCCTTCTCCCGGCTCTCCCTGGAGCACGAGGCCCGGCCGGACTACAGCCCCTAGCATGCCCCGGGCAGGAGCCGAGTATCGCACCGAGATGATGTCACAGCGGGCGGCCCCCCCACACACACACATTCGGAGAGCCTAGCCTCCCTATTTCCCCGGACATGTCCGGCTTTTTGGCAATTCCCCCCGGATGGGGATTTGGGGACCAAAAAGCCGGACATGTCCGGGGAAATCCGGACGTATGGTAACCCTACCCATCACCACAGTATCTGAGTGCCTCACAACCTTCAATGTATTTATCCTCACAGCACCCTGTGCAGCAGAGCAGTGCTGTTATCCCCATTTCACAGATGGGGAGCTGAGGCACAGAGAGGCTAAGTGCTTCCGGCGTATAGAGGTTACTCAACAGCCTATAGAGGTTTGTGTTTTAATGCATCTCAAATTTCACTTCAGCCTCCAGACGTGAGTAATTAAAGTTATGAAAAGGTGCCAAAAACTTTAAAAATCACCCCTAAAGACTGTGCCAGTGAGTTTGGCAAGGACTAATTTCACATTGATGGTAATGTGCTGTTCTGTACTCTATGCAGCAAGGCTGTAAATTACGTTTGAAGGTAGACAAATACAAATTGCAGTTCTATTAATTTTATTTTATTATAATGATTGATGGCACTGGTAGGCTTTGAACTTGCTTAAAAATTGCAAATATATCAATTAAATGTGTTCAACTGATACTTATATATAGTGTGGCTATGGAACTAAAGTTCAGCATTTCATTTTAATCGTGGAAAACATGGATTTTTATGTGTGTTTTTTTTTTTTTTTAATCCGAGAATTTTGGGGTTTTTATCATGGAAAACTAGGATCCCTGCGTATAAAGCTTGCATGCATTCACTGGCTGTGTGACCCACACAAACTTCACTGACGGGTGCAATATATATACTGTGAGAGACCATGTGCACAGTTTCAGCAATTGGCTTAGCTGTAAATCAGGGGTGGGCAAACTTTTTGGCCCGAGGGCCACATCGGGGAATAGAAATTGTATGGCAGGCCATGAATGCTCACAAAATTAGGGTTGGGGTGCAGGAGGGGGTGCGGGCTCTGGGGTGGGGCTGGGGATGAAGCGTTTGGGGTGTAGGAGGATGCTCTGGGCTGGGACCAAGGGGTTCAGAGGTCAGGAAGGGGATCAGGGCTGGGGCAGGGGTGCGGAAGGGGTGCAGGTTCCGGCTGGGGGTGCGGGCTCCACGGTGGGGCTGGTGATGAGAGGTTTGGGGTTCAGGAGGGTGTTCCGGGCTAGGATAGAAAGGTTTGGAGATTGGGAGGGGCTGGGGTTGGGAGGTGGGGAGAGGCTCAGGGGGTGCAGGCTCCGAGTGGCGCTTACCTCAAGCGACTCCTGGAAGCAGTGGCATGTCCCTTCTCCAGCTCCTACGCGGAGGCATGGCCAGGTGGCTCTGCACGCTGCCCCATTGATAGGCACCGCCCCTGCAGCTCCCATTGGAGCGCATAAGAGCCGGAGTGGGACCATGCTACGGCTTTCGGGAGCCGCGTGGTGCGGCCCCCAACCCAGCGCCCCGGCCGGAGCGGGGCCAAGCCGCGTGGTGTGGCGCCCGACCCAGTGCCCCAGCTGGAGCGCCAGAGTGGGGCTGAACCACGTGGTGCGGCTCACAGGCCAGCTTATAACAGCTCGCAGGCCGTAGTTTGCCCACCCCTGCTGTAAATGTTAACAAGGACAAACCATGGTCAGCACTGGTCAAACTAAACTCCTGTTTCCTAGTGTGGATAAAGCCAGAGAGAACTACACTTGAAAAGAATGTTTTTAAAACATCATGGGCATGAACTGTAAGGTTCTATCTATATTAAAATTTTTGGATCTCACAAGAATGAGAGTTGACAGTGTCCCTTTAAGACTTTTTAAAATTGTAATTGAAACTGTTTCCTGAATTATGGCCTTGACTAATGTGTCTGGAAAACTGTAAGTCAGGAAGTATTACATAAAATAGATTTCTGTTCTATTTGCTGTAGCCCATGTATCAATTCACATTTCTCTGTTCCATATTCGCTGGCTTAATACATGAGGACTGAAGCTATCTATTATAAAATGCTTCTTACTGAAGTAATTCCTTTTCTGTTAGTGCAATATTCTGGTTCATCTCGCATAATTTTAATTGAATGTCATTTTTAACTTACTTTTAAATTTTAAAATGTTCCTGCATTGATCATAATTGTGGATTTGCAGTAGTTTGCTGTATGAGAGGTAGGCTATCATGTTGTGAAACAAATGGTGCCACAGGACCCTCTGTTGCTTTTTACAGACTCAGACTAACACGGCTACCCCTCTGATACTAAAGCAATGTTGTCACCTTTTACAATAGTTACTTTTTAATTAAAATATCTGCATCCTTGATATTACCTCCTTGTTCTGATAGACTCTCCCTCCAAAAGTTGCATCTTTTGGTATGTGACTGCTTTTTATATAAGGAGAAGGTAACTTTTGAATCTGCTAAATAGGAAAAATATTTCCCTGTGCTGCTCTTACTTTAAGTGTGGAAAGTAACGTCATGCTTTCATTTTAACATCCAAGCTGAACTGCACATCTAGAAAATACCAGAGTATTTACGTCCCATGTTAGTACAATATACTAAAGGAATGATTATATTTGTGGTCCTGCCATAAAGTATATTGCTGCTTTGGTAAATTTAGGCAAACAGACCCCTATAAGCTTATTGTCCTTTCTCCTGTTGGCTTCCTCTTCACTGCAAACTCAAGTGTACTCACTAGCTTCAAGATAAAGAATGGCTCTTTATTTATATTTTAAAAAAAAGTCTTAAAAGCTTGGTGCCAGAGGGAAATTCAGCCTTTTCCAAGTGCAAAACCCAATGGAGCTACTGAAATGCAAAGAACCATTCAGAATGAGGTCACTGCATCATCTTGTTCTTGTGGTTTTTTTTTTTTTAAATGTATATATTTTCAGTATAGCCTAGCCTAGCACTAGACAGGTGTCTATGTCATCAAGAATAAGGGAATATAAAGGCAGTGCGGACTGAGCATTAAATCGCTGATTTTCCAATCTACTTTTCCAAAACATAAAGTACATCAGAGACAGAGCTGAGACTACTGTACTTTAACATCCAAGCCACATTTTGTAAAGTGACGGAACAAGAGTGAGAGGACATGGTATTTTCTGCTCTACAAGCCTTTTATAATGTTTTCCTGTATTTCTAATAATCTGCTGCTGAAAGAGAGGAAGGGAGTCCCCAAATTAGATTACTCAAGCAGAAAAAAATGAACACTACAGGTGGAGAATGTCTCTCTGCTTGTTGCTGGTTTCTCAGAAACCTGGATCTTCCATAGGGGCAGGGAGGTGGCTGAAACAGCACTTTGGTCTTTTATGTGTATTCTTTTACTTTGGGGATTTTGTTTTAAATTTACACTGGCTACTAATCAGGAAGAGAGAGTAATAGATTGTGTTTGAGGGTGTGAATTGTATTGCTGTTGAGGCACTGCACTAATCAGTTCTCTATTTAAAACCCCAGATACAGGAAGGCACAACTACTCGGTATATTGCTCTGTAACACTCATTTAACCTGGCACTGTAGTCACTGTACAAAGAGCACTTAAATAAGCATTAGCTTCAGCGACTCCATTGTCCTGGCTCTTCCCGCCGTTTTCATTCAACATCCTTCTCTTCAGGTGAGATCTCAGGGCTCTGTCCTTGGTTCACTACTTCTCTTCCAATAGACCCCCTCCCTAGGTGACCTCATTCACATGGCTTTAGCTACCGTGATCAGGGGTGGATTACGGTTTTGTGGAGTCCTGGGCCAGAGCAAGTGGGGGCTCCTCCCCACCCTTCCGCCTGTAGTCTTCCCTCCCACCCCCCACAACCCCGGCACTGCTGACAGGGAGAGGGGTCGGGGTGCAGGGGCTTGCTCTGCTCCGCCCGCCCAGCACTCCTGCCAGGGAGTGCCAGGCAGACGGAGCAGGTCAGGGCGCAGGGGTGCCCCAATTGGCTGGGACCCCTGGGCACAGGCCCTATTGGGCAAGTGGCTAATCTGCCACTGACCATGATTACAGATTACTCACAAATCAACTGCTTTGTCCTGTCCAGTCTTGAATCTCCAGTGGCCTCTCTAACATTTCTTCTTGGATATCCCATCACTTTCCTAAACTAAACATGTCAAAAGTAAGCTTCCCATGATTCCTTCCTAAACCCTCCCCTATCTCTGTTCCCCTTGTTCTCTATAACAAATGACAAATTCATGGTTCCCTCTCTATCTCTGCCTGCCACTCAGCTCACAGCCTTTGGAGTAATCTCAGTTTCTCCTTGTCCTTCTCCTCCCACATTCACACTGTAACCAAATGCAGTTTCCCTTCCTCCTCTACATGACTTCTAAAATGCAACCCTCCTGCTCTGTCTGTACTCCATGTACCTTCCTTATCTCATGTTCTGTCTCCTCTTTCCCGCCTCTTTTCTGAAGTGTATCCAACATGCTCAGCTGAAATAATCTTCCTGTCCTGTCACTCTGACAGTGTAATTTCCTCTCTCTCACCAAACACACACATTATAATCCCTTCACTGGACTCTTCCCAAATCACATTTAAACTTTGTCCTCACTTCCAGAGCTCTCCCCAGCACTGCTTATATCTCAGTTTTCACTTCCTCCTTTTCTTCTTCTTCTCCCCTACATTCTGCCAACTACACCTTTGGTGGGGTTTTCCCACTCATGATTCTGTGCTTCTTTTCTAGTTAACCCATACGATTGCAACAGCCTCCCTTGTTCCTGAGGTCCAAGAATCCTCAGTCTCTTCCCTCTAACCATCTTCAGAATTCACTGCATCTTTGCTAGATTCCCATCACTAATATCTGCTCCAACACTATCTACTCTTTCTTTTGGGCCTGAACATTATGAAAATAAAATATAATAAAATAACCCAGACAAACAAAGCAAAAGCAGCAACAAACAAAGCAACTTGCATGATCTACTTTAAAAAACACACGCATGCCACATTTTCCAACCCAAAAAGCTATATTCCTTTCACATTTTTTAACTTATCTGGGATATTGGTATATCAAAGTTGGGCTTTAAAGGATAGGAATACGTAAATGTGTTTTTCCATGAAGTTCTTTCTCTTTTTAATGTTTTTAAATAACCCTTTAAATTTCTCCCTTTATTTTGAAGAAAAAAATCTTTCTTTCTCCCACTAGCTAATTTTCTGCACAATTGTACGAAGAGACTTTTTAAATCAGAACGGGTGGGATTTCCAAAAACACCTAGGGTGCTTAGTTCTATTGACTGTCAATGGAAAGCTTCTGTTTTTGTTATTGGGTAAGGGCTTGCCATCCAAAAGAATTGTATATGTTGTATAACTTAGTTTAATATTGTCTATCTATTCTGCTAAATTTATCATTCAATCCAGTGAATGCTATTGTAATGTGAATAGATTTTTCTCTTAAAAGGGATAGTTTCCCAGCCTTCCTGCACCTGAAATGAATTCTTAACTGGTTGTGAGCAAGAGGTTTGTGTTCAACTTCAGATTCTAAACTTTTACCCAGGATCAAAGGATTCCTTTTTTAATGGGCCACTATCATTTGCCAACTATAAATAGGTAGGAACTTCCATCAGATGTGCATCAGGCACTTAATTTAAATTGCTGGTATTAGGCTGTTTGAATTAGAGGAATGGCACCATGTACAGCATATTTATTAATAGTGTTGAATCCTCGGCGCCATGTGTTAGGGAGAAAATAAATGGGCCCTCAATCTACTAGATACAAACCATTAGACAAGGAGAACAGAGATGTCAACTCTGGGGAACAAAAGAGTGATGATTGGGCACAGATGCAAATAGTATGCTGGTGTTAGAGAGACCGACTTTTTGCTATGTAAGATTATTATCTTGCTTAACTAATTCAAACCAGTGATGAGTGGAGTTTTTCCTAACTTACACCATTGTAAATGAGTAGAGTCAGGAGAAAAGTACTATGAAAACATCTCCTTATTAATATCACAGAGAGTGAGAACCCTTATAGGAAATCATATTTAGTGTACCATTTACCAGTGCCCGAACATACACAAATCTTACTAATGCATTTGGCACCTAATTCTGAGGCTTCTGTTAACCAAGCATGTAGTTGTACATTTCTTTTTGTGTTTTCTACACAGAGAATTTAGCTCTTCCTCTTGTATTGGCATCAGGCATTTTTCAAAGATGTCTCAAGTTTCCTGTCAGGGCTTTAAATGCTAGTGTCATCCAGTGAATCTCTTGTGTCTAATGAAACCTTATCACCCTACAAACCTGAACAACATAGAGGATGCAGTAAGGATTTAATGAGTAACAACAATGGAATGTGCTGTACAGGGCCATTTTGTATCTTGTTTCAGGTACGTAAATGTACTTTATAAAAGCAGACTGTAGGCTACTAATGGGGAAAAATGCTAAATTTGACAGTGGGCCAAATTTGCACCAGTTTGGTATTCAGTGGGGACTCAAGTGTTCCATTTAGGCTGAGCCCTTGGGCGGTGGTGGAGCTGCAGTGCCCCAGAGGGAGCCCTGGGAGACATCCCTTCCAGAATTCCCAGGCACACTGCCTGTACATCTGCTGCTGTGATTTGTATTAGGTGCAGCTGGCTTCCTCCCGTGATTCTGCCTGGCTCTTATGTTCGCTGTGCAAGAGCGGGAGAAAGATCAGTATGCTCTCCCCACCAATGTAATGGACTCACATAAGGGGCAAGCGCAGGATCTGACCCAAGGGGTGCAAAACGAATGTAGCACATAGGTGAAAAGGCCAGAAGGGATGGGGCTATAGCAGTAATAGCAACTAACAGGATGGTATAAGATAAAGGCTTTTCCTGCCTTCTGCCCCTTCATTTTACACACCCACTGAATACTGTATCAGTGCAACCTACATTACTTTACCTCTTACATCCACTTACAACAGTTCTTCAACCTACTTGCATACCTCGTATGACTTACACCATCATTTAAATTGCCTTTGAATATGGCCCAGTGTTCTGGACTTTAAAGAAATTGATCCTTTCTTCCATGTGAAGGCAGAATAATTTTGACATTTTGAATGCGAATACAACCTTTTAAACTGTATTATGAATTCTCCAAAAGAACTTCTCTGACTATCAGACCCTATTTTTGTTAGACTCGACTGTACCAGTAATTGCTAACCTTCCATATGAATAGTTGGTTTACATTTCTAACCTGTGGTGGGAAAGTATTTACTTTAGGGAATTTAGTACTTTGCACTATTGATCTCGATCTTTCATACACACACACAAAGTTTAAATAACATTAAGTTGTGACACAAGCTAGCAAGAACCAGGAATTCAAACATAAAGTTTGATGCATTTTGACTTAGTCAGTTATACTTTGGTTATGCAACATACATGGGCAGAGTTGCCATTGGTTTCACTGGGGTCAGGATTTTAGACATTGTATGTAAAACCCTGGACTGTAATATCAGTAGCACAACAAATTAACGACTTTGTGTGTCAGAATTAAATTTAGATTTCTTTCTTTTTTGTGTTTGTGACTTGTAACCCAACTTTTTTTTATTAATTTCCTTTTGAGTTGTTTTTTGAGGGTGATAATCTCTGCTCAAAGTTTAGCCTTGTTAATTTGATAAAACCATAGCTTCATCAAGATCTCGATCATCAAGCTTAATGTTTAACAAAGGTGGCCTAAAATATTTAAGTAACCTCTAGCCACTTCTGGAATGTATATTTACAGAGATGACAGTTAGTTTTGCTGCCATCTTACCACCAATGTATGTCTCAGGATATTCAGAATACCTTAGGAACTGATATAGTTCCAGCAATATTGATAAGAGAAGTAGAACTATTTTAGTGCATTGGGAATTAGAGAGCTTTTCCAACATTTAAAAATGTTTATACTTGCAAATACATGAATCCTGGTAATATGATGACCACTTTTAGTTGTGGTAAATACCCTTCTCCATCTATAACATGACCTTTGTTCACATCTCCTCCTTTCCCTTTTAAGTACACTCTGAAGTATAGAGTATATGTTTACCAGTATAAATGCCTGTGACTGATCTGCATATGTCTATATGTATCTGTATCAAACTACAAACTCATTTTGTTTTGTGAATGCCATTTTGATTGTAAGTGTGTGTACTCTGTCAATTTTTTTGCCTTTTACCATCCATCTTCTGCTGAAACCTTCAGGGAGGTGTCTAGAGAGATTCTTGTGCCTAGCAGAAGGCTAAGAATGCATAGCTATCAAGGTTCATTAACCTGGAGTGTCCCCCATTCAAATACAAGCATCATAAGACAATGAGCTAGCAGCCTCCCATGCAACCATTCAACAAAGTGAGCTTGTAACCGCTGAGGAGAGTCATCTGACAAGGGCAAAGGCAGGGGGTGTGGGAGGATTGGAAATTTATAAAAGGGAGGTGCTCTCGTTGGCCATTTTAGAAAGGGGAGAAGACTAGGACCAGACGCAGACATGGCTGAGAAGGAGGAGAAGATAAATCCTGAATCCCCGGAAGAGAGACTAACTAAATCCCACATGGCTGTTGGAGAAACTGAGGCAGGGATTTATGTGCAGGTTTTGTTGTTTTTCCGTAGACCTGTATGGCTCTTTTGCTGTCTAAGAGTAAATTATATGTGTGTTTAGACATTCCTTTGCAAAGTCATTGTATTACTTGTTTTTACTGTCATGTAGCCTCTGAAGAGGGAAACTGTAAACCAGAGGGTCCACAGCTTGGGTGGAACTCTGTGAAGGTGTAGCAGCTACTAGGGAGGCTTGGGGCAAGAGCACTAGTTTCAAGGTCTAGGCAATTGGACTGCCAAGAAGGGTGTCTGTACCTGGGATGTGTGCCTAGAGGCCCAGCACATAAACTCTGTTCAGCCCCTGCAAACTAGGAGCACATGGAATCCGTGGTGCATTTTCACCTGGGGAACTGATCGAGGGTTGTGATAACATGTATGGGGTAATAATAAGCACATCGAGGTATATAATGCATCCAGATGCAACTCAAGATTAACAAATGGTGCATACATACATGTCTCCATATTGCTAGCAATGAACTTTTCAATTAATTATGGCATAAACACTGCTTATTAATGCATTTGGTTGCAGTATCCGAGGCCACTCAGATCAAAGATAATCTTATAAAACTAGCTTTTGTGAATATCCAGCAAACACTTGTGATTACAGGGCAGGTTTGTAATGGTGCTCATGAACTCATTTGGTTTGGTTATTTGATATTAGCTCTGATCTTGTTCCCGCTGAAGTTGGTGGATGCTTTAGGATTGCTTAAGTGAGATAAGAGAACATGACATCAGTAAGGATTACATCTTACATTAGTGATACTGCAGTGTTTGGGGGTTATTACAGTAAAGTACTGTACAATGGAAGGATGCTGAGGAATGCCGACTAACTGCACTGGCATCTAGGATGTAATAGGACAGAAGTGGTGGCATGAGACTCACACGCACGCCTACCTCCGGTCCAATGTTCCCTCTAATTTTTTTACATCCATGTGTGGAATGAATTTGCACCATGTGCACCAATATGGAGGTGATGTGTGGTGGGGGTGGGGCTGAAGGGTTCAGAGTGTGGGAGGGGGTTCAGGGCTAGGGCAGAGTATTGGGGTGTGGAGGGGTGAGGGCTCTGGGGGTGTGGGCTCTGGGGTGGGGCCAGGGATGAGGGGCTTGGGGTGCGGAAGGGGGCTCAGGGCTAGGGCAGAGGATTGGGGTGGGGGGGTGAGGGCTCTGGGGTGAGGCCAGGGTTGAGGGGTTTGGAGTGCAGGCTGCCCCAGGGCTGTGGTGGAGAGAGAGGACTCCCCCCAACACTCTCTCACCTCAGCAGCCCGAGGGAGAGCACCTCTCCCCACCGGGGCAGCTCCGGTGCCAGGGGAGAGGCACCTCTCCCTACCTGCGTGGCCCTTGATAGCCTGCTGCATGGCCGCACAGCTTAGAGGGAACTTAGCTCCAGTCACCCTAAAAATGAGGTAGATTGTAATGGCTTTTAAAATTTATCCTGAGGGCCTGGCCCCTGTACTATTTCTCCTGCCCAGAGTGGGCAATGTGGGTATAGAAAGTAGGGGGTAAAATAGGGTGTCCAGATAGCAAGTGTGAAAAATGGGGATGGGGGTGGGAGTAATAGGCACCTATATAAGAAAAAGCCCCAAATATCGGCACTGTCCCTATAAAATCAGGACATCTGGT